GGAGCTGAGTGCTGCTGGGGACTACAATTCCCATGATGCTAATTTGCTTACTCATCCAGGGTTATTCACTAAACTGAGAGTTATGAATAATTGTCAAGGAATCGCCGAGTTAGCATATTCGTCCAAGTCAGCTATTTTGCCTAAAAATAAATATTCTACTCAATTCTCAGTTGAGCGATTAATAAACCCCAAAATGTATGTGTTTCTCTGAGATTATTAAAATACTTTAACTATTTGAGTGTAAGGATATAGTTTCACGTTTTCAATGATATATTAGTTAGTAAACCTTCAATTACTATAATAGGAAATCCTATTCTGCTCAAAGGACCTTGAGGTGAATATCACAACACAAACCATTGTGTTAGGTCAGCGTTACAATGTTATTTAAACTCTCGGCGACTAGACACGTTGTTAGAATGATAGTGTGTGTCCGAGAGCTATGCCACGCTGGCGCCATGATCTGACACAATGGCGGCCTAGATATATGTCAGCCTGCCACTGTCAGGTATGACACAGAAAGGGTTAAAAGCTAAACTTTCTTCATTTACTCCTGTCTGATCCCTTTACACCCCATGCTGAAACTTGCAAGGAGGGGAATCTCGTATTATTTTTGGCAGATATCTAAAAGCATTTTTTTTCTGTAATAAATAAAAGAGAATCCCGAAATAAAGTATTCAGCGATTAGTGTAAGGATTAACGTAAGGACATTTTGCATCAAATCTGCAAGACTTTATTTTCATCAACGCATAAAACAGGTTGGAATAGCTGAATATACCTGTATAGGCGGGTGCGAAGCGCAGCTTGTTTGGGGCACCGACCTTGCGCTGAGGGTGATCGGGGTCACATGCCAGACAGGTCTGATGATCACTGCCCTTGCTCAGTAACATAAACGCACACTTCCATCTCAGGTTTCGAGGATGTAATTAAGCTGTTTGAAATGGGCATACCCTTTTTAGGATGTAACCCAAGATGTTCTCGCTATTTTTGTCATGAGTCATGACCCTTTTGTCCAAATGTGCTCAGAGTACAGGAACTCTCCAGGGGGTTATTGTCTAAACAGTGTCTTGTCGTAAAAGGAACACTCTCCAATTCATCTCCTTTAGCCAGATTTTGGAATTTGAATTTCAGTAATTGCAGAGAACAAACCCGTCAGTTTAATTGAACTATTTGTAAATACAGACATCCAGGTGTAAAATCTTATCGTTCTCCAAACCTTTCCAACGGGTGAACTGGAAAAACACCAGTTATTTTCTTCTGACGGGATAGATTATTGTTACTTCGATTCTAGTTATTTATAAAGCACCAATGTTTTCTACAGCACGGATATGTGAAATCCCAGAAAATAATCCTTTGTATTTTATTAATTGCAAAATGCTTGTTATTTTATTCAATTGTAACCTTTATGTAGAGTGTTAACTAGCATACAATCACCAATAGAAAACACACTGGCAATTTATCGAATTTCCCCGTGGATTATAAACAATTCCCAATTTAGTAAATAAGTCTGACATGTATGCGGATGCAGTGTTGGTTAGTCCGTAGGGCAGGGTGGGCTTTAAAAAAATAATATATATATAACATTTATTTGTGCTGTAAGAACTTTTGATAAGTGTGTGTTAGAATAGATTTCTGCCATGATTATATCTGCAGTTTCTATTCTCTCCATTATCTATGACTGGCGAGGCATCTTTCAATTTGTGAATTGGGTAAAGTCGGGGGAAGGAGGGTCGCAGAGCCCAACACTATCTTTAAACTTCACCAGTCGTCACTGCGTTGTTGTGAACCAGAAACGGAACTCTAAAAGGCAAACTACCCAACATTTTTTGAAAAGGTTTACACTTTAATTTTTGGGGTGTGAGTTGGGGTGTGGCCAGGGGCGAGGCTGTTCTCTTGATCTCTCTGTCAGTTCAAGGAGGGCCCCCTCGCAGCCAGAGCTACAGGCACAGACAGGGTCCACTTCGGCCAAGGCAGCCGTCTAATGGGTAGTCTTGTTCTGGTTATTTTAAGAGTTGCATAAGGGTCCAAAAACTAGCTGCTTTACTTTTTAAAAGTTACCCGCTAAAAGGGTCACTCCATCCAAAAAACTGTGTATTCACAGAATTGGAATTAAATTGGAACATTCTGTTTCCATGGTGACTGTTCCGTGTTTTGAACTTTGCCCCAGTATAGTCCCATGCATGCTAATATCTAGTAACCCTGTGAGCCAGTAGGTCTCTTGCCCCAGAATAGCCCCGTGCATGCTAATATCTAGTAACCCTGTCATCCGATAGGTCTCTTGCCCCAGAATAGCCCCGTGCATGCTAATATCTAGTAACCCTGTCATCCGATAGGTCTCTTGCCCCAGAATAGCCCCGTGCATGCTAATATCTAGTAACCCTGTGAGCCGGTAGGACTCTTGCCCCAGAATAGCCCCGTGCATGCTAATATCTAGTAACCCTGTGAGCCAGTAGGTCTCTTGCCCCAGGATAGTCCCATGCATGCTAATATCTAGTAACCCTGTGAGCCAGTAGGACTCTTGCCCCAGAATATCTTGTAACTTTGCCCCAGAATAGTCCCATGCATGCTAATATCTAGTAACCCTGTGAGCTGGTAGGTCTCTTGCCCCAGAATAGCTCTGTGCATGCTAATATCTTGTAACTTTGCCCCAGAATAGTCCCATGCATGCTAATATCTAGTGAGCCGGTAGGTCTCTTGCTCCAGAATAGCCCAGTGCATGCTAATATCTTGTAACTTTGCCCCAGAATAGCCCCGTGCATGCTAATATCTAGTAACCCTGGGAGCCGGTAGGACTCTTGCCCCAGGATAGCCCCGTGCATGCTAATATCTAGTAACCCTGTGAGCCGGTAGGTCTCTTGCCTCAGAATAGCTCTGTGCATGCTAATATCTAGTAACCTTGTGAGCCGGTAGGTCTCTTGCCCCAGAATATCCCTGTGCATGCTAATATCTAGTAACCCTGGGAGCCGGTAGGACTCTTGCCCCAGGATAGCCCCGTGCATGCTAATATCTAGTAACCCTGTGAGCCGGTAGGTCTCTTGCCTCAGAATAGCTCTGTGCATGCTAATATCTAGTAACCTTGTGAGCCGGTAGGTCTCTTGCCCCAGAATATCCCTGTGCATGCTAATATCTAGTAACCCTGGGAGCCGGTAGGAC